AGACTGAGTGATGTCCAGGGCACTCTGGCCCCTCCTTCCTCCTTCAGTAGCCACCCACAACCCCTCATCCACACGTGAACCCCAGCTAAGGAGGGCCCACAGAGGTAGTGGGTGAGTGAGTTTGAACTTGGGGTCTATGAGGCGAAAGGGAGGGCAGAAAGGGGTTGCTCCTGGGGCGGGCCTAGAGCCACAACTGGGGAAACAGGTTTGCCAGCTGATGTCAGCTCTCACGGCTGAAGGGAGGGGCGCAAGTGTTGGGGGAACCTTCTGGCTGGGTGGCTGGCCAACTCAGGGGTCTCTTAACACTCTGTATTAGTTCAACCCCTTACCTTATCTTAGCCTCTCCCCCAAGCACACACATGATAGGTCACTAGCAGGGCTTAAAAGCAGCACAGCCACCGCTCCTGGGGAGTCCAGCACAGAGGGTGGGGACCGTGTTCCGGGAGCAGAAGCAGGACCAAGCCGGCAGGAAGGCAGTGCTGGGAGGCTGGCTAGAGCTTCCTCTCCCCAGGCGACCTGGCCCCTCCCGGCTCCTAGGTTCACACTCATATCCTGGATTTGTCTGCTTGGCCCCAGGACGTCCCCTGCCTGCCCAGACTTCCAAGGCTACAACCAGCTAGCCTGTGCCCCTGCCCTGTGAAGTGAGGAGCTGGAGAAGGAGAGGGGACTCAGCACAGATGAATGCTCAACACCTGTGAGAGACTGACCATCTGCAGAGCTCAGCCAGAAGGGGCAGCAGGAGGCAACCATGCTGGATGTACAGTCCAGGGAAACTGTTTAAAGACAATCTCTCCCAGCAGCATGAAGACCCACCACTAACAGCCACCAGACTCATCACCTGATTCAAGCCCCTCTCCACCCAGCCACAGGTGAAGAAATTAAGGACCAAGAACCTGCCATAGCCACAGGGGTAATCAGAAGCATGAGAGCCAGGGACAGGTTTCCTTCCAAATCTTTTGCTCCTTCGCAAGGACCAACCTCTGGACATGGAGACAGAAACACTGGAGTGAGGGAATCTAATGGGGCAGGGAAGCAGAAAACTTCTCTGGCCTGGACAAGCCATACTGGCTACCCCTCTGCAAAGTCCAGACCATCCAAGATCAGGGCTGTGACAAATTTATAGATAGGAAAGCAGAGGCTCAGGGGTGTAAAGAGAGAGAGAGTCCCCACCAAAGAGGAACTCTATTCTAAGCATTGCCTCTCGCCAGGTGCCTGGACTTTTCACCACCTGAGCAGGCTCAAGAAGCTATGGCCTTGGGGGAATGTACAGCTCAAGTGGTAGAGCACATGCTTAGCATACACTAGATCCTAGTTCAATCACCAGTACCTCCTCTAAAATAAATAAATAAGTAAACCTAAAGCTATGGCCTGAATTCCAGGTCCCTGGGGCCCCAGACCTGACCTGCAGTCCTGGGAGACAGTTGGCCAACCTCCTCACAGAGGGCCAGCTGGTTTGAGTATGAACTTCCCCCCAGTGACGAGATAAGGGGCACACAATAGTTCATTGTGCCCAAGGTACACCTGAGCCAGGAGCATGATGCCAGGCAGGTGCAGGGAGGGAGGCTGGTGCTGGGTAAAGGGGAGGGAGGCATTACCCTGGGTTCCTTCCCTCCCGTTGATGCAGAAGGAAAGTGGGGGCCTATGTGTGAGAGACATAGAGTTTGGGGGACACCTGGGTCAGAGTTGCTCCTTTCACCATCTGAGGCCACTTGAGGTAGTTTCTGAGACAGGAGGGGGAGCTCAGGAGGAAAGGACCTCCCTCCAACCCTTTCAAACATCCCCACCCTCAGCATCCAAAGCGAATCTTTTCTTCTGGCTGGACCCCTGGAATCCACCACTGCCCACCCCTCTGCTGCCCCCTCCCCGGTTCGGGTGGGGCTGCCTGGGGTCAGGGAGAAGCTCACTACTCAGTTGGCTGCATGGGATCTCATGAGTTGACTCAAGTCGGACCGAAGTAGGGTCCTCCTTGTGATGCCTGGATCCCTAGCCCACACCGACCCGTCGGCCACGACCACCCAAAGCGGCTGCGCCCACAGGAAGGGCAAGCTCAAATGCAAGCTAAGACCCCCTCCCGACCTGGCCAGTCTTTTTTTCCCCCGGGCCTCAGTTTCCCCATCCGTAAAGGTAAGTGCTCTGCCGTCTTGGTCCAGGCCTCTCTCCTCCGGCAAAACCGAGGAGGCGCGGTCTCCACCCAAGCGGTTCTTGTGACCTGCGTACC